CGAGTATGTGGTCCGTCTTTTTTGTATTTCTCAAAATTTTTTAGAGTGGATTTTTTCTTTCTTAAGAAGCAGATCATTAACATTTCTAAGACGATAGAATGGTCTCTCGTGGCGTTGTCGCAGCTGTTTGTCTTGGTGGCTATATTGTAGCTTCAATGGTACTGGTTCGCGTAATTCCGCTCCGTGGTGATAAGAAGAGGATCAAAGAGGTCCTGAAAAAGCGTTTTCCTTACTCCGTAACCCGCATAGCTCACCGGGGCGGCTCTTTAATAGGACCAGAAAACACCATGTATACATTTCAGCGAGCTGTCTTCGAGTATAATACCGATATGCTGGAATTGGACGTTCAGCAATCAAAGGATGGAGAAATTGTTGTTTCACACGATGCCGATCTCTCACGGACTTGTGTAATGGGGCACCATAACACTAGTGTGGATAATCTTATGGTGAGTGGGGATCCGAATGCTACGCTGCCTCAATCACGTCGGAAAATACCTCTTCATTTTAAGTCGCTTTTGCGGGGTGACCATTATGAGGCTACAGAGGCAGTTCCTGTTGATGAGACTACGCGTGTTTGTCTGCTATCGGAGGTATTTGATGCGTTCCCCAAGATCCCTATTCATATTGACATTAAATGTGAAGGGGCTGACTTCACCGAACGTGTACTTAAACTGATCGAACAATACGGACGGGAAACCAAGACGTTTGTTGGTAGCAGTAATTGGCGCAATCGGAGTCACATTCTTCGTTATTTTCAGCGTGGGCATTCTGCAGGGGGTGAAGACCCTCAGGAAAAACGCAAACGATTTCGAATATTTGCTGGTCCACTGGATTACGTTATTGTACAAGTGGCCTATTATCTTGGAGTGCTCCCCTTTTTCCCCTTGAGCTTTGATGTGTTTTCTATTCCAATTTTTACGAAGAGCAAGAAAGAAGAACTTGACTCTTATTTTACACGCTTTCTTGCCTACTTTTTGAATTCACCTACTTTATGGGAGCACTTGCAGCGACGAGGGATTCTTGTTGTGGGATGGGTCCTGAATGATCCAGAGGAATTCGAGGAGGCTACAAAGTGGCCAATAAACGGCATCATGTCAGACGATCTCGGCGCCTTAAACGCCTTTTTTGACGCTCATGATGTCTCTGCCACAATGAACCTTCTGGATTAAATGGTACACATTAGTACACTGCTTTTTTTTCTTTATCCTTATTTCAGCTTCTTGTCATCGAATACGGATACCGTAGTGCTGCTATTCCAATGGTTTAATTTGTATTTGATCAACTTTGTCTTTTGTTCTTCTTTTATTTCTCCGAGATGGATGAGGTTGTCGCCTATTGGTGTGGATTCTATTAATTGCTTGTAGAAGCACCAGCAGATTCTTCTGTTTTTTTGCATTTTTACGCCGAGGTGGGGTGTCGCATGCGTTCGTTGCTTTACCTTGGTGCGGGAGCCCTACTCTCGCTTTCGTGGTTCACTTTTGCGGATGGACTTCTTATGGCAAAACAGATTGGCGTTCCGTACAATTTCTTAATGTGGTTACCTTCTATTATGATTTTGTGCGGGATGTTCGTGCTCAGATTTGTGGATGCAAAGGTGATCGCTGAGGCAGATGCCTTAATGGAGGACGGTAATGCGCCACGCGAGAAAACGTTTTTCTTTGTTGGTGCTTTGTTGATAGTCGGAGGTTTCGCAGTGGCTCTTTGGAAGGCGATTGATCCTTACGCCGAGACTAGCAGCTCATGGCCTGGTGTTTCTCTCGTGATTCAGAGCGTGCTTCTTGCCTTGTGCAGTGGACTTCTTTTTTTAGTGGAAGTGCAGAGGAATGAGGACTGAAATTAAACAACCATTCGCATTTTCTGTTTCTGGTGATGCGGGGTCCTCGGCTGTTTGAATTTTTATGAAGCGTCCTGAATGGTTTTTTGGGGAGTAATTCAGATTGACTATGCGCTTTATTTGTGCTGTGCTTCTTTTTTTTCTTGGTTTTGCACATCTTTCTTTATGTGAGGGAATAAATGACGGATACTCTTTCAGAGGTGAGTGCTGAGCGCTTAAAGAAGCTTCGTGGAGCAGTGCATGATTTTCTTCAAGAGTCGAGTGTGTATTCTAAGATCCGGGATATTGTAGACTCGTACATCGCCGAAAACCCGGGGGATGCATTAGACCCAACATCTTCTGCCGATGTGATGAAGATTGTGCGAGAGAAAGGCGTGGTTCAGGATTTATTGAGTCGATTACACAGTGAAAAACGCTTGAGTGCGGCACAAACACAGAGTGCAGCCCATTCGTGGAAGCTTGTGCCGGGGGAGTACTACCTGCACCTGAGATTGGCTGGGGGGAAAGCGTTTGTGGATAATTTGGATCTGAGCCCGGGGGTGGCCAAGGGCTATCAAATGTATGTTGCGTTACACTTCGGGTCGCAGCGCTACCGGTCTATCGCAGAAAACGCTTCTGTAGATCCCCCTTTTAGCGATGAGTTCCTTATAGGGCTCGACTACAAGACATTTGGCTCCTGTGCAGCTGATTTAATAGAGGTTTCAACTCCCCTTCACGTAGCCGTCATCCGAGAAGACCGGTTGTTAACAAACGCCAGGGTGATTGGTGAAAATGTGGTTGACTGGAGAAGGGTGCTGCGCACAGGTTATCTTGGTTTGACAGTTGAGCTTTGTGGGGAGAACCCAGGTATTCCTGCCGGTATACTGGAACTCCAACTTGAGTTGCTACCCAACAAAGCTCCTCGCTATTCAGAAGAAGATGTCACTTCAAGAATTGACTTGCAACGTTCTGCAATCACCTCTGCGGATCGCGAATTTCTTCTTTATGCACGTCGCTGGTGGATGGAATTTCAAGATATCCGTCCTGCTCACAAACAACGAAGAGTAAAAGTTTTTGCATCTACATCGAATGGGAGAATGGTTCCCACGACTCACTTTGTCTCTGTCATTCAACCTGAAAGGGGAATTGAAACGCCTTTTGAAGCCTCTAGGTTTGTTTCTCTTTTAGCTGTGACTGATGAAGAACACCTCACGCATGAGGTTCTTCTTGGTGGATCGGGGGGCCACAAGGTAGCAAACTGTTGGCTTTCAATGTTTGCTTTCCTTTCGCAGAGACGAGGGGAACCATGTAACCACGCCGCGCTTTTGTGTTCCTTGTTGCTTGGGTTTGGCCTTGATGCGTACTGTGCTGTTGGAACAGACAATAAAGGAAATACGGCCATGTTGGTCGTGTCCCGCAAACGTGTTAGTGCCGGCGTTTTTGAAGTTATATTCTGGGAACCTACAACAGGAAACCGCTACTCGAGGACAGATGCACATCCGTACGAAACTATTGGGTGTGTGTTTAGTCATCGGTCCTTCTATGCAAACATTCAGCAATCAGACGCTGCTGTTACTGTTTCATTTGATCTCGATAATGAAGAGTTGTGGAAGCCCTTAAACCCTCTGAAACTCCGCATGCTTCCAAAGTATCCGAACCCTTCACTTTTATGGGTTCCGTGTGATACAAAGAGTTTGGAGGATCAATTGCAGGCTGAGTTAATGCGTGAAGTAACTGAATACCGTGATGCTCGCGGGATCGTCACATGCTTTGATGATGGTCTTGCCTATGTTCTTTCACAAGCGCTTTCCTCATATGAAAGTCAGCGACGTAATGGCACCCCGGAAGACCTGTCGCTCTTCGAATCTTGTGTGAAGGGAATCATAGGTGAGGGCAAAACATTTAAAGGTGTACCAGTAAATGTGACGCATTTGAATAGTCGTAAGATACTGGCAGCGTTTGGAGGGAGTGCCTCTGGGAGAGAGATACTTGAGTTGGCGGCGGACACTCTCTCACTGGCGGTTCGGGTGAAGGTGTATCCGTTTCCAGAGGGTGTGAACTCGGTTTGGGTGATGCTTGCAGCATCTTATAGGCTTACCCCATTTCAGCAAGGCTCACTGAATACTGGTACCTGATCTGAATATGCGATGCACATGCATACAACGTTCATAGAGAAGTCCTTTTTGTCTTTTTTTTAGTTGTTATTGTTTCCTCTGCAATACATAGAAAAACCTGGGAGGTTGTGCCGTTTGTATGAGTTCAGCTTTTTGTGAAAATGAAGAAATAACAACAGAAACAAAAACTGAAAACTCAAATAAATGGTTTCATTACTCAGAATCGTTGGCTTTTTTTTTTTACAAAAAATCATTTACATTTTTTAGTTATATCAACAAGTAAAGGAAGGTGGTAGGATCATTGTCATATGAGGGCGTTAAGGTGTGTCAGAAAGGTCCTTTTAACCTCAGCATGGCCGTTGTGTAGCGTGCCGGTCAGCAACCCCTTACGCTTTCTTGCAACCACACCTATGTGCTTGGTGGAACATATCGGTGCATCGTCCTGTGCGAGCTATGATGAAGACGAATGGGATCCCCTTGAGACACCTTCTATTCCTCACAGAGGCAGTACTTCCTCTCCGCGAGGAAATATTCCGCCTTTTGTAAAAGACGTTCACTCCGCCGGAGTTTTATTTCCTGCTTCTAAAACTGCAACACCGAAAGTTTCTGTTGTTGATTCGCGCGGAAATGCAGTTTCGGTGGCATCTGTTGAATGTTTTTCAGCGTTGACAGATGCGCCTCAATGGCTCTCAGAAGGGCTTAAGTCATTAGCCTTTCCAACCACGACTCCAATTCAGTCATACACCATTCCAGTTCTTGCGGAGGGCCACGATGTGATTGGTCTTGCCCCAACCGGCTCAGGGAAAACAGTAGCCTTTGCGGTGCCTGCGTTGAAGCGATTCCAACCGAGTCCTGCTGGTCTTCCAACGATAGTGGTTCTCGCTCCAACCAGAGAGCTTGTGCAGCAAACGGCAAAAGTGTTTCAACAACTGAGTTCTGGTAGTGTTCGTGTTTGTGAAGCGTATGGCGGGGCTCCACGAGAGGTTCAAGCCCGACGGTTACACAAGGGATGTGATGTGCTCATAGCTTGCCCTGGCCGCTTAAAAGATTTTCTCCAGAACGGGGATGTGACACTTGACCACATGTCTTTCCTGGTGTTTGATGAGGCAGACAGACTTCTTGACATGGGATTTAAGGTTCAATTAGATGAGATTTTGGGTTATGCTGACCCTTCTCGTCCTGTTCAAACAATGATGTGGTCAGCCACATGGCCAAAAGCGGTAGAGGAGCTGGCGCGTGATTACCTTTCACAAAACCGTTATACAATTCGTGCAGGAACAGCTGGCATAGGTTTGCAAGTGAATGAAAATATCAAACAACATGTCTTCTTTGCAGATCACCCACAACAAAAGATGGAGACCCTCGTATCATTAATAGAAAAGGGAACCATTGATGAGAACACAGCAAAGATGATGATTTTTGTGGAACGCCAAACAGATACAGAAAATGCGGCTCACATGCTTGCACGAATGCTGGGTATACATTCCAGAAATGTCGGTGTTATTCACGGCGGTATGCAACAGCGTCAGCGAGATTATATTATGAATGACTTCAAACATAGTCGCACGCGGATACTTGTAGCGACAGATGTTGCGTCTCGCGGGATCGATTTCCCCGACGTAACATGCGTAGTGAACTTTATTGCACCAAAAAATATTGACAGTTACTGCCATAGAATCGGGCGCACCGGAAGGGCTGGCCGCACGGGGGACTCCTTCACATTTATTGGGCGTTCAGATGGGTCTTTAGCAAAGGAGCTTGTAGGTTACCTAGAGATGTGTAAAATGCATGTCCCAAAACAGCTTGTAGATGTCGCTGAGCAGTATACCCAGGCTGAGGAGGAGCGTCGCACGAGACGGACCTGGGGTGGCCGGTCTAAACGAGGTAACAGTCGTTGGAAGTCAGATAACGACAGCCGCTCATATCGCGACAGTGGCTGGTAGCAAGATTACCTTTGGTTTCCTTCTATGCCCATCTTCATTTATGGGTGATCGTTACAGATACATCTTTCCAGAGGGCGAGTGCTATGGGTATATAGGTCCACTGCTTTTTTTTTTGAAATACTTTCTTTGTACCCACACATACTGTTCTTCTTGCAGGTGTGCTGCGAGTATGTGTGGAGAAATTCAAGTAGTAATTTGAAAGGGAAAGGTAAATAAAGGAAAACGAACCAAAAATAAACTGATTTGAAGCGAATGAAAACTTGCACCAAATTCGACTTGTATCTGTTTTTCCTTTTACTATGATTTTTCCTTAACTTCATCTTTGAAAGGGCCGAACTTCCGGTTTGTGGGGTGCTTTGCTGTTTGTCGCATCATGGCGAAGATTATCAGCCCATGCGATTTAGAGTGCGCTGCCGAAGCGCTGGCGCGAGGAAACTTAGTGGCACTTCCCACAGAAACTGTATATGGGCTGGGAGGTAATGCTCTCAATGAGGATGCGGTGAAGAAAATCTTTGCTGTGAAAGGTCGCCCATCCACCGACCCGCTGATTTGTCATGTGACTGATGTTGAAAAAGCAGTGGCGCTGTGGGATGTGAAAGCAGACCCCGCAGCTCTCGAACTGGCAAAATGTCTGGGGTCAGCAATTTGGCCAGGGCCACTAACGATTGTGTTTAAGGCAAATCCATCATTGCCAAACGCGGTGACTGGCGGCTCTGGCTTCGTGGGCGCGCGAATACCACGCCACCCAGTTGCCTTGCAGTTGCTGGAGCTTGTGGGTTTCCCTGTGGCGGCTCCTAGTGCCAATACTTTCGGTCACGTTAGCCCAACCATGGCTGAGCATGTTCTCAAGGATCTGGGGCCAAAGGATCCTTCACTGCTTATTATCGACGGTGGGCACTGCGACATTGGTATTGAATCCACTGTGGTGAAAGTGAACAGTGTTGAGAGTGTTGAAATATTGCGTCGTGGTGAGGTCTCACTTACTGACGTACAACGTGCCATTGGGGACAAGTTTGCCGCACATATCACGATTAGGGATACACGTGCTCGCCACCTTACCCCTGATGTGGCGATGGATGGGCCCGGACAACTGCTTACGCACTACTCGCCCAGTGTCCCGTCGAGGCTGCTGACACCTAGCAGTCTCACCGCTGATATGTCGATAGATCTGCGTAATGTGGTGGTCGAGCTCTCGACAGGGTCGAAAGGAGTTCCACTGAGTCACACTGTAGTGATTGACTTTGGGGGTCACCTGCAAGCCCTCAGGCCAGGCTGCCTGGCGTATCGTGATCTCAGCGCTAAAGCCGAGGTGCGAGAGGCCTGCTTCGCCGTATTTGAAGCTCTGCGGTGGAGTGAAACGATCCCATCCGCGGAGGTGGTGCTTTTCCCGTTAATATCGGAGTGGCCACATGCTATCGCTGACACGGAGCTCCTCGCGGCAGTGGAGGATCGTTTATTCCGTGCCGCCTCCGGTCGAATCGTCTGCATTCGCCTTTGAGCATAAACGCGTAAGCTGTCCTGCCTATCCCTGCCAGATATTTCGGCCTCGCACCAAATGCCAATGACGTGAGAGTCCCAGCGTCGTGCAGGCCTGTACGTGCGTCGTGGTGCAAAGTTCTTTTAACAAGAAAAAAAAAACACAATGCTAACGGAATGTGTTGTAAATTTGATCAACAAAAAAGGAAATGACCTAAATGGGTGACGTGTGTAATGAATAGGAGGACCTTTTTTCTATTAAACCTATTTCCTTCATTTATTTATTTTATTTATTTTTATTTTTTGAAAAAATGATTTCTTTTCCAAGTGCTTGTAGGTTATGGCATTTAACCCCCGGGACGCGTTCATTCTGCACCAGGAGCAGATCCAGAGGCAGAATGAGGGGGATGAGGTGGATACCTCCGCCGAGCAAAAAGTACAAATAGACTTACAGCGACTCACGGATTCAGAGTCTGCAGTAACTATCACATTTTCTCATGAGGATCATACCCTGGGAAACCCTCTACGCCATGTACTCATGCAAAATCCTGAGGTGACAAGCGCCGGCTACGCCATTCCACATCCACTGGAAGCAAAAATGCTGCTGCACGTCCAATCTACTGACTACGCAGTCGAGGCTGTGGCGGAAGGACTTGAACGTTTAGCTTCTATCTGTGATCAAACGTTGCAGAGCTTCGAAGAGTGTATGCGTAGGACAAAATGCGAGGGAATTAAGCTTGAGGAGTAGGTGCTCATCGAATTATTGTTCTTTCTTTTTTTTTCCGTTGTGTTCTGTTTACAGAGATCGTGTCCAAACCTCAACACTCTCACGGCTCCCAGGAGTAGGAGATGAGGACAACGCCTGTGTGTACATCTGTGTCTCTGTGTGAATGTGGGTGCGCTGTTGTTGTTGTGTTGCGACGAAGACGGGGGGAGGGGGTTCGCCTGTTTCCCCTCATAACGAAGGAGGCTTCGCTCTAATTCGTGTAATGGTAAAATGACAGTGGACATATTGTGTACCTCGTTGCAACAACCAATTGTATCGTGTCTTGTGCTGGATGGAAAAGTAAAAGCCCATCTGAAACGTGCGTGCGCTTCCTTCCGGGATTGCTCTTGAGGCAAAAGAATAGCGATAAAAAGACATGAATACCACCCTTGCAGAGCCCAAGACATCCATCATTGTAAATGGGCGCAAGCGCATTACTTCCAAGTTCACTGATGGTAGCGAGATGATTGAAGAGTTTGACGTTATCACCGATGATCTTCTCCTGCGCAAGCGACGAATGAAGAACGCTCTTGGGAACTATAGCGACTGGGAGGTCGAGGTGGGAACTGAAACGCGGGTGCGAAACTTAGACAAGGAGTTACTGGTAGAATCCAACGGCAGCCCTGAGCTAGTGAAGCAAGACACACCCGAATATCATGTCTTTCGAATCCGCAACCTGCCATACAAAAAGGATGTATTTAATGTTGCAATTGAGCGGCGAAATGCTGAGGACGTTGGCGAGATTGTGGTGCGCACAAGTAACAAAAAATACTTTAAAAGACTGAGCATTTCTGCCCTTCAGCAGCATAACATTCCACTCGACCCGGCGAATCTCTCCTACGACGTGCAACACAACACACTGATCATTCGCTACAGGAAACATCTTGCCGTTTTGGCTTCGGAGGCGGCGGCAAAGAAGGAAAGAGCAGCACTGCCTGCGAAGCGTGTTGACGAGGCGGAGAGTGCGGGGTGTGCGCAGCAGTAAGTGACGGGTGCAGCCCCACTGGACCTGAGCTGCATCCCGCCCACGCTCACACGTATACTCACACACCTGGAGTTGTATTTATTTCACCTTCACTCCCTCTGTACATGAATGGCACGGAGGTGCCTTCGGCGCATAAACAGGGATTCACCGTGAAGCGGCTTGCTCTTTCTCCCCCCCCCCCCCCCNCTCTCTCTCTCTCTCTCGTCCCTTTTTTCTTGCGCAGGTCCAGATCAGTAGTAAGTCTGAGAAAGGGACGTACAACCTTTTAGGAGAAGGAAAGAAACGAATAGTGAGAAGAATAGGCCTCAATATTTGGTGGCCGAAATCGTACAGACAAGTACGTAACGACAAACAGGTTAAACGTAGATGCTCCGGCAGACTTTGCCTCGCCTCGTACGCGATCCTGTGCCGACTGACACCAAAGCCTTTTACTCATGGTTCAGTGGACAGGCATACCGACAGGAACGTGTGATCCCTGGTGGATACCCTGCAGTTCGTGTGTATCCCGTGTACGGCAAGCGGTGGTTTACGGGCCGCACCGTAATGGCGATGATTGCCGGCGTCTCGCTCTTTGGTGCGTGGTATCGGCCTGAGAAGGAGCGGTACAACATGGAGATGATGATTGAATGGTCCGAAAGGCAAGCTGCGCATCTCCCATACCAGAAGGCGGAGGTTAATCTTCGTTGCCTTATCACCAGCTACAAACGCCACCGCTACGAGCAAGAAAATCTCATTGATAAAGGTTTTGTGGGTTTGACGTCAGAGTTCCGCAAGTTCTTTTATCACGACGACGTTTGGCGTCCGCCACTACACGATGTTCTTATGCATCCATACACCAAGTATGGCGGCCCACTGTTTAGCTACAATTGGACCATCGGTTACTTCTAGCTTGAAGGAGTGTGAGAGAAGTGTAGGGTTTGGAGTGTTACTTAGTTGTGTGGTCGTTCCAGAGGTCTGCCACTCCTTTGTGCGTGTGCACACTTCATTTTTTTGGTGCTATGAGGGGACTTGAGAGGCAAGAGGAACGCAAACATGTTGGGAGTGGTGGGTTTAGGGTTTGTGGGGTGGGGACTAGGAAAGATGAGAGGAGTTATCAAGTAGCGTAGCGAAGTACAACAATGGATTCCCTTTAGGCCGATGTAGTGTGTTGCAAACAATAATAATACCAAACCAAAACAGAAAAAAAATGACGAGTTTGTGTACAAAACAGCTGTGCAATGTGCTGCGGGACGCCGCTCTCTCGGTTCATGCTCTGTTGGCATGCGTGTGATTGTGCCACACCTCACTTGTGCATATGATGCTCTGCTTCTTCCTCTTTGAGGTCCCTTTTGCGTGTAGGGGAGGGGGCTGGGGCGCAGGAGGTGAAAAAAGGGGGAAAAAGAAGAAGCCACGTAACCGCGAAAGGGAAGAGATATATCCAGACAGAGGTATCAAGAGACGTGACAGAGCAACGAAAGAGTGGGCCTCTGTTGGGGTATAGATATTCAATGGAGGACGAGAATGAGCTCTGGTCCACCGCTGCGGTATTTCGCGGTACAGAGGAGTACGCCGCCGCCTTCAACCTAGAGGTGTGGAAGGCGCAGCAGCAGTCACGCATGCGCAGTGAACTGGGGGAAGAAAAGGCGCGGTTGCAGAAGACAATCGCGGCGGAGGTGCGCAAGCGCGAGGAGCAGCGCCTTGCGGAGCTTGACGCCTTCCGGCAGGAGCTGGAGCAGCTCGCGCGGCGGCTGCAGCTGCGCGAGGACGTGTTGCAGAGGCGCACTTCGCAGTTTGAGGCCCGTGAGGCGGTCTTTGAGGAGCGCCGCGTCAAGGTGGCGGAGCAGCACGAGCGGCACCTGGTCGCGCTCGAGGACCGCACACGGCGGCAGCTGGAAGAGGCAGTGGTACAACAAGACACCCTCAAGGCGGAGCTGCGCGAGCGCGATGGCAGAATTGTCCGCCTCGAGGAGCGGCTGCGTGCTGCAGAAAGCGAGTACGACACGTTGCAGCGCTGCATGGCCCGCACCGTCGCGGACGACGAGGACAAGGCGCGGGCCAGCCGGCTGGAAGAGCAGCTGGCAACAGCGAATGCGACGCTGATGGGCCTACAGGTGCAGTTAAAGGAGCGGGAGGCGGAGCTGGCGCTGACCCGGAAGGAGCGCGATCAGCTCGAGCGGGCGTCCAAGCTCTACAAGGAGCAGCTTGGCCAACTTGCCCAGCGTTACAGCGATTTGCAGCAGCAGTGGCACCACCGCGAGCGGGTGCTGCTAGAGGACGATCGCCATCGTTTGGAGGAGGCGAAGCGGCGTCACGAACTTGCCGTACGTCAAGCGGGCAGTGGCGCGAAGGGCGTGCACGGCTACGAGCTGCTCCGTCAGCAGGTCGCAGAGAACATCGCGCCTAGGGCACTGAGGGACGCGGTGTCCACGCGAGGTGGCGCTGGCACCGAGGACGACTACCACGCGCTACTCAAGGAGCTGCAGGGCGACGTGGCGAAGGGCCTGCACGAGTTGAAGGGAAAGGGGAAGAAGAGCACCTCCAAGCCGTCACGGCAGCGGTTGGTGTACGCCGAAGTGGCGCCACGCCGTCATGCGGAGGAACTTCCGCGTAAGAGGCACACTGACCCAGCAGTCGCGACAATAACAACAGCAACAGTAGGTGGCACGCAGCGTAAACCGCACAACGTGGCGCGAGCCACTGCCCCCCACGACGAGACCATCACCTCGACACTCTCTTCTTTGTCACAACGCGAGAGCGATGGCCGTCGCGAATCGACGGAGCCGTACACCAGCCCTCTTGAGGACAGGCCTCTGGCAAATGAGGAGGCAGAGGTCGACATGTCCTCGTCTTACTGCTATGCAGAGGTGGAGTCCTGGGCCACCGACGGCGAGGAGCATCGTGCCTTACCGAGGGACGCGACAAGTTACTTGCCACCTCTCGTTCCCACAACCTCTGACATAAAACTGGAGTTTCCGCCACCGCCACCGCTGCTGCCACCGCCCCAGCAGCAGCAGCAGCAACAGCCGCTCCCTTTGCCGGAGGATTTTGTGCAGGCGTCGAGAGCAGCCCCACCGCCCCCCTCGCGGGACTCCACCAGGGCCGAAATGGTGGCGTTTGTTGAGAAGCTGCAGGCGAATAAGCAAAAACTCCTAGAATCCGGCGTGTACAGTGAAAGTGACACACTCTTAAGGGAGATGACGGACAAAATTGCACTCTACGAGGATTTTCTGTCGAAGCATTTCTGAGCCCTTCTGTTCACTCCCCCACAGCAGTACCGGACATGGGGTGTCACCGCATAGACGCATCGCGAGTTTATTGATGTTACCGATGTGTGCCGCAACTTTATGCACTCTATCCCTAGTGGTGCTTGGTGGTGACTGCTGTTGTTGTTGTTGTTGTTGCCGAACAGCTTGTTTCTTATTCCCTTTCCTTGGTTCCTTTGTTCTTTTTCGTCTTCCTTTCGTGTCCATCCTCTTTGACGGTGATATCATGTAGTCCAAGAGATGTGTGCAGCCGCGGGTGCCATGGATCTGCGTGTGCCGCTCGCGTGCGTGCTCAGCTCGCCACTCGGTCACCGCCACGCAATTCCGCACCGCACGCTCCGACTGGGGGCGGCGCATCCGTTTGTTGAATACCTCGACTCCGATGACACGCGCCTGCCGCAGCACCCCACACTGGCGGTGGTGGCGCAGTCGGCGGATGCGTACGAGACCTATGTTGGCGAGGACGTCTGGCACCAACAGGAGCCGAACAACAGCAGCGATAACAAGAACGGTGAAGGCAACGGTGACACAGACGCAGTGCCGCGGTTTGACGATGTGGTGCAGTGGGTGATCGAGGCCCTGAGCGCGGTGGGCGGAGACGGTGCCGGAGTAGTGCTCTGCGGGCGCTGCGTTGTCGCCGACGACTGCGGGTGGGCGGTGCTTTCCCGCACACCGGCGCTGCACTCGCCGCGAGACGTTTTCGTTACGATGCGCAACTCGTCCAAGTTCCTGCGTGACGTGCATCACCAGCTGCGCGGTGAGAAGTCAGGAGAAGAAGCTGAAGAAGCCGCATCAGCACCAGTGCAGGTGGAACTGACGCTGGCGAAATCCATGGGCGGAGACCCCGTGAAGGAGTTTCGTGTGTTTCTCCCATATCGCCTCTACACAACGGACGGCGAGGTGCAGGTAGAGCTGTGGGACGACCACGTGTATGCCGGCATCAGTCAGCGCGCGACGGACGTATGCTTTCCAGCGCTCATGGCGTGGGATGTGGAGAGGCATGATGAGAGCTACGCTGTTGTGATGCGGCACGTCACGAACGCCATGGTATTGGAGAAGGCACTTGCGAAGGATATACAGCTGCGTGCGGCACTGCTACGGCAAGCTGCTGCTGTTGCTGGTTGTGGTGGTGATGACGGTAAACGACGTGAGGTGCCGTGTGTTTTGCTGCTCTCAGTGGACGTGCTCTTTGAGAGCCTGTCGCTGCCGGTGCACCTGCTGAGCGCGAAAGTGCGGTGCTTCCGTCACGACGATGAGAGGGACCCTGCGTGTACGTTTCCCTTCATTCAAGAGGACAATACCGCAACAAGTCACAACAGCAGAAACCACAAGGGTGATGACGAAGATGATGGAAGTGAGGAGAGTGGCGAGGAGGACATGTTGTACGACTCGGTTAGCTTCTTCCGCCTCTTCCGCGACGCTGCGAATTGGAACCGCCATGTGGAATTGTGGCGCCAGCGACACAGCAGAGGAGAGGCCTCTGACGTATGTGCCTCACAGCAGGAGCGGCGGTATTTCGTCATTGCATCGGAACGCAGCGATCTGGCACCAACGAAAGAAACAATGGCGAAGAAGGGGCTTCCGTTGGAGTTCATCCGACCCGAGCTGATGCAAGGTGATGAAGAGTTTCAGCGCGAGTGGCGGGAGAAGTTGATGCAGTGCATGTCTGCGGTGGGGCATCCGCAAGGGTCCAAATGAAGAAACACCCCCACACACACACACACGCACTCATACTCATAGCCTCACACACTCTCTCTCTGTCCCGAGTGTGTTTCTGTACGGTTATTCTCATTGCGCTGTTATTTCTGTATCCTTTGGTTTTGCACTCTTGCGAACCCATCTAGTGCTTATTATTATGGTTGTTATTATTGCTATTTGTTGTGCTGCTGCCTTTTGATATGGTATGTGTGGCAGCGTCTCTGCATGGTGGAGGTGCAAATTCGTATTCTATTCTGTAGTTTCTCTTTACTCTGCTGCACTGCTGCACGCTGAGGGAAGGAGGAAGGGAAGGATTGACGCTGGCAACAGCGTCATTTAGGAGCGGAGTGGTGACAGATACTTTACCTCGCTCTACGCACAATGTCAACAGGAAAAATCGTCGGTGACCACAGGTATAAGATCATGTGCCCCATCGCAAAGGGTGCGTTCAGCACAGTGTACCGTTGCGCTGACCTCACCACCGGCAAGATGTACGCGGTGAAAGTGGTAAGCAGGACAGTCATAGAGGCAAACAACATGCACAACGCGGTGGTGCGTGAGATCAATGCCATGGAGGTGGCACCCTCTTCCAAGTATTTGGTGAATCTCGTAGACAAGCTCGTCTCATCGCGCAACTACTACCTAGTGATGGATCTGGTTGAAGGTGGCACGCTCTTCGACCTCCTGCAGGAGTGGCGTCTCACACCCTCGTCACAGTGGGCGCGCCGGTTGTTCCGGCAGCTTCTCAACGGCCTGGAAACACTGCACCGCTCAAATGTTGTGCACCGCGATATTAAGCCAGAGAACCTGCTCCTCAACGAGGATCACACACAGTTGATGATATCAGATTTTGGCTTTGCATCCTACGCGCCTCCTGGCCGAATGCTTCACAGAGCCTGTGGGACACTGAAGTACTGTGCTCCTGAATTGCTTCTGCAGAGTCCTGAGTACGACGGCCGTAAGGTGGACGTGTGGGCTGCTGGTGTGACGCTCTACGTTATGCTCTTCGGCAGGCACCCGTTTGAAGGTGACGATGACAACATGGACAGTCTGGTGCAGGCAATATTGGCGGGAGGGTACTCTTTTCCACAGCGCATTTCACCCCACCTTGAGCATCTCTTCTCCGTGATGCTTCAACCTGTGCCAGCGAAGCGCTGGCCCGTGAAGCAGTTATTGCGGCACGTCTGGGTGCTGGGCGTCGACGGTGTCAAGGCTTCTTTGCTGCCTCGCTCTCCAGATTCCATTGGTGTCACGGCAAACAACTGCGGGTCTTGTAGAGCTCTGCCGGTGGAGTACATTGTGCGTTCATCTTTTGCAAGGGCACTGAAAGATGACTGTATGGATTTATTCATACATCGGTGCCGTTCGTGCCCTGACCTCTCCAGAGAAATGCGCCGCGCCGATAATCCGGATGAATGGAGCAACGGCAGCGCCGCTAGGAATGAGGACAGTGATGATATCGCTCTGGATGTTGACGGCAGCATTGATGCTGTTCATTTTGATTGTAATGGCGAGGGCGGTGGACCTCTGATGAGCCCCGAGTCAACTCCAAGCGACAACGATAACGTTAGCATCAGTGAAAGCGCTCTCCCATTTTCGCTGCACAGAAACTCCACCTCATCAGTTTCCTCATCCAGTTTCTCCAAGGGAAGTTCTGATGAGTCGCCGCCAAGCCACAAACGCGATCTTATGCTTACCATACGTGTCATTGTAAATTTTCTCTTATTTTGTACATCTCTAGTTCTTGTTGGTGGGCTGCGCTTGCTCTTTGATGTGGACTTCAGCGAACTTCCCATCCCTTCTTTTATCCACCGCACGGTGGAGAACTTGCTTGTCCCACCGCATGAGTGGCCGGCGCAGCGGTTCGAGGTGCATCGAATGCGTCACAGCCTGCCTGGTGCGACGCTGCGGCGCCTGTTTGCATGGGCGGAGGGGGTGATAGATACATCGGACTGGCGACGCCGAATGGTGCCGACACGAGAGGTTTCCAACGGCGTACATCCGTGCCAGAAGCAAGAGGTACGAGGCTCAGCTATAGCACCGCAGGACAGCAGCAGTTGTTCGTCAACATTACGAAGGCGGTATCTCAGGTGATGCTGGATGTGCTGCAGCACTCCAGTGAGAGAGACGGAGGATCTGCGACCACATGTTGGATTGCTTTCTCTAACTTTCTCTGTTTCTCTCTCTCAGCCAGTTGGTCAGTTACGACGCGCGGGAGTGACGCTTGCTGTGGTTGACCTTCTCTTTCAATCTCTGTGCTCCCACGCCTCCACACCGACGTGCAATGAGGCGCCCCCCAACGCCTTTTGGGCCGCTGATACGTTGTGCGGGTGCCACGCTGCTGGGGCAGCCGCATCGGGCGGCGGCGGCGGCGGCGGCGGCGGGACACATGACAAAGAAAAAGGG